TTCAACTTCCATGTTGGGGCCCGGCTTGGACCAAACAGAACTGTGAAAACTTCACCGATTATCAATTCATGTACATGATGACGACAAGCAAAATGCAAGAGATTTCTATGGAGCAGTTTCTCCAGCAAAACACATGCTCCACTTGACGTCCCAGTATTGGCAGCAGTAGTATCAAAGCACATGCCTATAATGTCTTCACTAACGTCCCATAATTTGAGCAACTGAAAAGTTGCATTGGCCTGTGCTTGTCCCGTGCTTGATGCAATTTTAACAATTCCTAAGATTTTCTCCACATTACAGCCAGTCACAACAACAGCCAGTCTATCAGTTCTGGAGTGTGGATCATCATTCATGATCTTCCCATCCCAGTGAACCAGAAGGGGGTTTCTGTCACGATCCTGAAATTGTTGACGAATACTGCTGTCAATGGTTGATCGATGTTGCTGTCGTTTACGATGAACTGTGGAACGTGACAGAGATGTATCCCTGATGTCTTGCCCACTAGCTTGTGCAATGGCTGCTGCTAATACTGTGAACTTTCTATCTGACAGGTTTATTCTATCCAGTGCTGAAGCAACATCTGGCGACGACAACATATCCTGCACAGTTCGTGTTTTTTTGCTGGCACTGCTTGACAGACTGTCTTCTACTTCACTGATCTGCTTTTTGTAGTACACTGGAATTTCAATTTCATAGTTGTCCTCTGTGTCCTGCTGTTCACTATCACTGTCATCAGAACTAGATAAATGTAGTGAGGTACTTTCTGTCATCCGCTTCTGCTCTCGCTCTTTTCTCTCTTCTTTTTTGCATTTACGTTGTTCTGTGCGCTCTTCTTTCTTGGTCAGGTCTTTATCAATGCCACTCATTTGCATTCGTCGACTGCCCCTCTGGTCTTCAAGAAATTCTATATCTTCCTGAATTCGGATGAGCTGCATGGCGTGTTGGTGAGCAATATCAAACAGCATGTGCTCCTTTTTTTCAAATTCCTTCTCTCGTGCTCGTTGTGCTTCACTTTGTCTGTTTTGTTCTTTTTTATTAGCTTGTAGTCATCAACTACCGACTTTACTTTTTCTACAACATGAATATGGTAGGTTGTTGGTATTCTAGCCTTGTTCCACATGTCCATGACCTTATCTGACGACAGTTTTGCACTTTCAGTTTTCTTTTCTACTTGATGATAATAAAAAAACATTCTCAGGACATCACCTGTTGTAGGCAATACATTTACTGAAAGTTCACTTTGTAACTGTCCAATCAGCCATATGTTAGTCATGCTGCGTGTTGTAAGAGCACCACAGTTTGAATTAGAAGCCATTTTATACGTAGTTAAATATGTACAGTACCGGTATTTCAAAATCATCTCAAATTACTAGTAAATCGACACAGTTAAATTATGCAGATATTTATCCTATTTTACTTTTTGCTGACAACAAATATGGTGACCATAGAATATTTAATAATAATAATGCATTTTAAAATATCTAATATCTATGTTTTGAATTAAGTAAGTAACCAACTTTTGATACTTTTCCAGTTATATTTGTATTTGGTTTTGAAATAATGAATTATCACATTTTTATATAATTTTGAGATGCATGAGCAACCTCTAAATTTAATTTGATTTGTCTTATTTTTGGTTTGTAAGTTTTTAGGACCCAATAGAAACTTTTCAGAGGGTGTGCACTCAAATCAGACAAAAAATTTTTTTCCCCATTCAAATGTGAACCACCCTAATATATACATATATATATATATGTATATATATATATATGTATATATATATATATATTGTATTGTATTGTATTGCAGAATTTGTATAGCGCCTCTTGTGAGTTGACTTCAGAAGCGCTCTCTACCTTCTTTGCTGTTGAATGTTGAAAAAATGAGTCTTTAGCCGTTTTTTGAATTCACTTCGACTCATGATGTTGAAATTCTTTAGATCAGCAGGCAACGCATTCCAAATCTGGGCAGATGCTACTGAAAATCTTCTTTTTCCAAAATGAGAAGATATGAACTTAGGAATGTGTAGGTCACCGCGGCTTGATGATCGTAGTCGACCCCTATATTGAATCTCTGATACTGAATGAATCTGTTCCCTCAGGTAGATTGGTGCATCTCCAGTCAAATAATCTCTTACAAGTAGAGCTAGTTTAAATGATATATATATATATATATATATATATATATATAAATGATATATATATATATATATTTATATCTATATATTTATATATGTATTTATTTCATCTATTTATTTATTGATTTGTTTGTTTGTTTGTTTGTTTGTTTATTTATTTATATATTTATGTGTATAAATATGTATCTGTTTTGGTTGGTGCTCCTGTGTGTGTGTGTGTGTGTGTGTGTGTGTGTGTGTGTGTGTGTGTGTGTGTGTGTGTGTGTGTGTGTGTGTGTGTGTGTTGTATGTGTGTGTGTGTAACTTATTATAATGTCAAATGTTTGCATGTCATTCCAACTGACTGTACTTTTTTAAATTAAGTAAATGTTTTATGCCGCTTAAGTTGTTAAGTCTTTGTTTTAATTTTACATTATCATTTGTCAAATGCATTTACAAAATTTTGCGTTATTCTACTTCTTATAAATTGCGTTTTGATTATGGTAAACAATATTAATCAAATTTGTTAAACTCATTCATCAAACAAATAATTAACTTGTTTTTGGAAAAACTTTATGTCCTGGTTATGACATTAAACTGACCCTCACTGCCTTGTGAGTGATGTTGGATCATCAAAGGCTAGGCCCACCGCTTATAACTGTGGTTGCGTAAGGAAGGGCGTCCTGCGTAATAATTAGCCAAATAAATTACTTATGATGGAATGGCGTCGAGGGGTATTTCGGTTTCATCATAGGTAGCCAAACGGCAACCCCCCGATCTCGGGGACAATGTCGTCTAAACGTGTGTTGTTGTTGTTTTTTTGGAAAAACTTTGTCGAATGACATCGTGGATTCCTGTATCATTTGCTATTTTTGTAGTTAGAAACAAGAGAGGCTTATTATTATTATTAAAAAGAAAGCTGGAATTCTATTTGAATTGATAAAAACAAAAGAACCAGTTGTACTTCAAGAAATTTAAGGAAACGGAAAATGGACAAGAATGGTGCAAGTCAACTGTGTTTATTTAAAGACGTACTCTGAAAGATGGCGGTAATCACTGATCGATATATCTTGTTTACTGTCTTGATAAAACTGCTGAACATGTATAGAGCAACTTTTGAGTAAAAAGCAAGCAAGTTTCAAAAAAGTACAATCCAACAAATACTTTAGAACTATCGATAGAAAGTGCAAAAAATATTTGACAAAAGACCAACTATTGTTTTTGTCAATTTCAAAGGAGCATTTTTACTAGGGTATGAAGGATTGGGCCACTAGAAAGTATAGGAAAATTTAACAATTATTTTAATGAGAATATCGTACTGTGAAACAATCAATCACCACGTCCAAAGGTGTGTTTCTATGAACACCTAACTCATTTTAGGCTAGACACGTTTTGTCCCTCATGGGACTCATCAGTAGCCTAAGTTAAAACATCAACTTAGTGCAAAAGTATGTGGTGGTTCTGTTTGTAATAGTTTTGTTTTTTTATAGGTTGGTTTAGCATTATTCGGATTCATTTATTATGTATTTATTATATTATTGTTTTCCTATTAGGAATTTCTTTTCATTTTGGTGATTATTTATGTTTTGTTTTTTGTGTATTTTTTGTATGAATTTGTCTTTATTGTGTTTTGAATGACTATACAAGCTCATTGAGCTTCTGTGTCTCCCTGCTTTTTGCTGAAATGGAAAAAAAAAACAAAAAAGTATATAAAATAAAACTAGTCAAAGAAGTTTACGAAGATTCAAAAATAGTGTAAGAGTTGGTACAGAAAACAGAGAATGCATCGAAGCATGATGAATTGTAAGCCGTTGTCATTTGTCATCGCTGTTCACAACATTATATAAAAAAGAAAAATGAAAAAAGGAAGGCATAGGATTTGCAGACGATCCTACTCTAGTAACATCTAATGCAGATTGCTTAAAGACTGATTGAGAGAACATTTGATGGTAGTAAAAGGATTATTGACAACTAAAAATTGATTATCTTAAAATGAAATGGAGTCGTTGCAGAACTCTCCAAAACAAGTCATCCGGTTTGTGTACTTGAGCAGTCTGATAACTAGCAGCCACATTTACTCAAAAAATTAGCAGAATGCTTGCTAGCTATTGCACGAGGAATGTTTACATTATTGATGAATTTTAAATAATCGGTTACATTTGCTTACCTATTAAAACAAGTTAAAATATTAGGAACCTAGATTGCTTGATAATGTACAGTGAAAGTGCCAAGCAGTGACTGTGTTAAAATGCAAAAAGATCTCCACCTAACACATACAAATGCAGTAGGATGCTTTATTAATTGTGTATTTACATATAGTGTGTGTTTGATGTTGAAACCTCTGAGAAATACTATCAAAAAATTATTTTTAAAATATTGACAAAACAACGTATAAAAATACAGTTGACATTTTTATTGAAAAATACGATAATTCCTAGAAAGAAATTCCAGCAATACCCTTCTCAATTTATTACACTTTCTTATTTTTATCGTAAAAATTTTTATATTCTTCTTTTCATAGCTAAAACTTAGTCAAAAGTCTTCAACAATGGAATACATCGATCCCTTCCTAATCGTCCTAAAATGCGGAATGCGCAATCAGTCAACTATCTAAGAATTATCCTATGTTTCGGTTGAAATGTTTATTGTATTTTAAACGATGTTTTTTCTATATAATAACAATAATGTGAAATTTGACACAGCATCCAATTCATAGCGTCTGAAGCGCTAAGGATGAGTTGCCATCTAGATCGCTGCCAAATGTCTGTTGAAACAGATAAAGTTTTAAATGCTATTTGTATAGTTGAAGAAAAGGTTGTTGTCTGATAGGCAAGGGCAGATTATTCCACAGAGAAGGAGAAAAAAGAAAAATCTTCTATTAGCAAGTGCGGGTTTGTGGTTGATTTAAATTATTAGAGACATCAGATTGACGTTTATGTCCAACATTCTGATGAATGCACAAGATATCTTAAAGATATGGCGGTTGTTGATTATGTATGACCTGGTACATTATAACCATAATTTTGAAGATGATTCGTTGACTTATTGACAGCAAGTGCAATTTAATTAAACAGGATGGTCTTGATATAAAATAAGATTTGTCTTGAACGAGTTTAGCAAGTCTGTTTTGCGCTATTTGTAGAGAGGAGATCGGGTAGGGAAGGAACACTATGTAAGATAGAGTTGCAATGTCAAGACGAGAAAGAACGAGGCTTCGAGCTAAAGTTGATGATAGTTCAGTAGATAGGTAGTGTCGGATAGGACGAATCGGCCAAATGATTATGTTGCATGATTTAACCACGGTAGAGATGTGATGGTTGGAAAAAAGTGTAGGATCGAAAGAGACTCCAAAAATTTTGATAGAATCTGAAATTAGAAGAGCAGAACCGGCAATATTGAGAACTGTGGGTATTGAGCATTTTCGAATTTGTTGATGAGTGCCAAGAAACATGATTGACGATTTCTCTGAGTTGAGTTGAAGATAGTTGCGAAGATGCTAGTCTTTAATCATTTTGTACAAGCGCTCAAGTTTTCAAGCTGAAAAGTGATATTTGATTTGGAGATGAATGTATTGAGGCAAGTATCGTCAGCATAGTGATGATAAAAAACATTAAATTGAAAAATAACATCAGAGATAGGGGTGACATAAATTGTGAAAAGAAGGGGGCTGAGCACAGAGCCCTGTGGGATGCCAGCAGTCAAGGAGAGTGGGAAGGAAGATTGTAAACCTAGTTTAATGTATTGATGGCGATCAGATAAATATGATTCGAAACAAGTGAGAGCAGGACCCCTTATGCTAAATTCATACTCTGATCTTTCAAACAACGTTATGTGGCAGATAGTATCAAATGCAGCTGATGGGTCCGGGTTTAGAAGTGCTGCACATTTTTTATTTCCGCAGATGCTGGTCATATTATCGTAAATGTGGATTAATGCGCCTTCAGTCAAAAATTCTGGTTCATAGGTGGATTGGAGGGTAGTAAATATGGGAGATGAAGCGATGTGTTCACGAGTTCCATTTAGGATATTGTGGGTAAATTTGAAATTGGACGATAGCTTGAAGGAATTGTGGGATCGAGATTAAGTTTTTTGAGTAAAAGTAGAACTTGAACACTTTTGAACAAAGTAGAAAAAGTACTTGATGCGTAGGAAAGATTGGCAAGTTTTGCTAGATGGGTGCGAAAAATAGAGCAAATCGTTTAAGAATTATTGTTGGTAGGTTGTCAAGCGAAGAGGTTTTATTTGGATAGAAACGAATGAGATTTAAAATTTCAGAGACAGTCGGAAAAGATTCATAAGAAGAGCCAAGATAAGGACGAGGATCAAAAAAAAGAAATGTTTGGATCAGCAACAACAGAAGCGATGGATATTGTTAATTTATGAGTTAAAATGATTAGCAAATGAAGTTACGAGAGTTTTGCATTCGTCAGAAGAATAAACCGGTTGACGATGAGTGTGAAGGAGAGCGGGAATATATTAAAGATAAATTTTTGTGGTGAACTTACCTACTTACATTGTTTTATAAATTACATACGGGAGTTAATTATATAAAACAAAAGTCATCAATGTTTACGATTCATGTCAGAAAGGAAATGTGCTAATGAGAGATGAGTCTGTTGAATTGCTACTGCCATCATTTTACACTCCTATATCTGTTTATTAGATTTTTTGATTTCCTGTCAGTATGAAAAATATTGCGCATAAATTAATATTATAGATTTTTAAAACATAATTCGTCCACATTAGTTTTTAAACTCGTTTGTGTTTTAACAGCAATTGAAACAAGAGATGTCAGAATGAAACGTTTTTGAACGGCTTTGTGTGAGAAGCATTTTTTCTTCCTGACTTAGGACTTTTGTTGTTTATTTTTTCAATGGATATAATTGTAGCGCACCAGTTGCGAAAAACGAGGCAGAAGCAATTATTCGAAGAAGATTTACAAGAAGTGTGATTGTTGTGCGCCATCTCTATCTGAAGTGCCGCGTAAGATGAAGAGGCTGAGGAGGAGTACGGGGATGAATGTTTGACATGCACTTCATTTCCAGCGCTACACTTCTCCATTTATTACACTTTCTTCTTTTTATCATGGAAATTTTTTTATTATTCTATTTATAGCTTTTATGAAAAAAAATTGTTATGAGCATGTATGTTTATAGGCAAACAAGTTTGGTTTCAAATGTTTACGCTTACAAAACACGCAGCATTGCTCCGAAGAGAAATTCATTAATTTGTTTCATCTAGCATGATTTATATTTCTAGATTGTATGCTAGTTATCCTCAAGCAAATTTACAGCTAAAGTGTTTTTTGATTTTTCTTCTTTTTAGCCATCTAATTACCAATAATTCTCAACACTCATTTAATTTTTTGACTGTGAATAAAGTAATGAGACCACCATATTTTCATATAATATTTTTCTACCCTTTTCCCTTTCCTCCACACACACAGGCACACACACAAACACACATATACAGTTATATATTAACATGATTTCATAACATCCGTCTCAAATGTAAACTGGCTTCATAATTAATTATATAATGAAAGGTACGAAAATTTCGCTCATATCCTTGCACGTGAAAACTAAGAACTTTGAATGCACAAACAATGTGATGTATAGAGAAAACATTTAAATGAACACTTGAAATGAACACTTAAAGTATAGTTGCATTCATTTGCGCGTGTATTTGTACAAAACAAAAACTCTAGGCCACCATTCTCCCACATATTTCAGCTATCCCTTTTTTCCTTAAAAACATTTATTTAGTTCAGTTTTCGATTTTTCTAATGCTTTTAACATTTTCAATCCTTATTTCTTTGTTTAAAATGCTGAAGATGGTGAAGAAACGTTGTTAAAATTTAAAAGAATGATCATGAATTCAGAAAATTTTTCTGTTAAGTTACGAAAATAAGAGAAGAGTAAGAAAGCTTGAAAATATGTCATTTGTTGAAATAACCTGGTTAATTGTTAATGAAGCTTGGTTGTTTGTTAATGTAATTTGGTTGTTTGTTGATGATGCTTGGATGTTTGCTGATGTAACTTGGCTGCTACATTATTGAAATTATAAAACGACCCAAATGTTTTTCAAGTATTATTTTCATTAAAAAACCTAATGACACTAAAATTAATAAACGTGAGCTGCGTATCAAATTTCTTCTCGTTTCGTCTGTTCTGCTGCCTTTTTCTCTCACTCTCTTTTTCTTCTTCTCTCTTTTTTCTCTTTCTTTTTATTTATGCATGTGTGTTTGTACGTGTCTAAAGGTATATACTCCCCGTTCGTCGTCGGCATCTTTCCGTTTCGAGAGACGATGATGAAACTATAATAACTAAAGTTAGTGAATTCTACACCACCAAGAATGACTAAGCAGACCAACCTCTATAAAAAAGACCCAGATAAAGGCCGTCGGCTGCTGAAGTTGATTTTGACGCTGTTTCCGAATTTGATCCATCTCCACACGTAATGCACCCTGCTTGACTGACATCCTCCAGACTGCGCGATCATCTGCTAAGCTCTCCCAAGATCTGAAATTGATGGAGCAGCTTTTCATGTCCCTCTTACAAATGTCATGGAACCGAAACCTTGGGCGCCCTTTTGTTCTACATCCCTCGACCAATTCACCGTACAAGAAATCCTTGGGAATTCGACCGTTATTCATTATCCAAACGTGGCCGAGCCATCTGAGAAACTTTCGGGTGAGAACCGCATACAACTGCTCATACCAGTTCGCTTCAACATCTCGGTGTTTATCAGTTTGTAAATAACAATATATTAATATATACATACATACCATACAATATATATATATATATATATATAAGTATACATATATATATATAAATATACATATATATATATATGTATACATATATATATAAATATACATATATATATATATATGTATATAAATTAATATTTACATATACTACAAATATTTATAATTTTACTTTCTCTCTCTTTCTTTTTTTTCATCTCTCTCTCTCTTTCTATTTATATATACATATGTGCTTATAAATACGTGCTTACATTACATGTCGCTACAATTATGTATGTCATTATCATCAAGTCATTCGACAACTTTTCTTTACTATTCATCAAAGTGTATATATATATATACTCTTAGATCAAATGTTTAATTATAAAAGTGTTTGAAACTGAATGATGAAGTTAGCATTAACGTAATTCAATTGATCTGTCTCTTTAATGTTTTGTTTTGTTTCGCGGTGTTTGAAGTTTTCAGTTCAGTAACTGAAATTTTGAAATTTAATTTGTTTTCTGTAACATGTGAATTAGTCAGATTGATAGATTGGTGTGTTCTTACAACTTATAGGCATCACACTTCGGTAACAATATGTTTTATGACAACGAATGAGAAGGACATGCATTTGTCAAAAGATAGGATACTTTGGATTTTTTCAACTAATTACTCACTTAATTAGATCAGATCTTTATGATGTCTTTTGGCCAGTTACAAAAATCCTGTTCCAATAACATCATCTTCCCCTCTAGGATTACCACTATTCCATTCACAGTACCAAATCTGATAGAACGCAGGAGACACTTGTGGTACGCCAACGACGTGAAGAGCAGCAGAGATGAATCACCTTCAGCCTCAACTCCAACAAAACCTGCCCACTCACAAGATCCTTCAAACAACCACAATAACAGCAGCAGCAACAACACCACCAACAACAACGGTAATAGCAGCAACAGCAACGGTAGGTGGTCTTCCGAACCTTTCCTTGTTAATTCGGCGGTCAGCAGGAGGAGCAACAAACACCTTCTGCAGTCAGCTGATCACGTGGAGAATAACAAAAGTTCGTTAGAGTTATTGTTAATTTTTTTCAAATGTAGTTCACCGTAAGAAGTTCAACTCTTTTTTGTATCATACAATAGTTATGAAAATTAAGTAAATTTATTCTTTTACTATCGTTTTTAGTGTCTGCTGTTTTGAACATAATTCAAATTTTCAACAACAAGAAGCATATACATTTTCTGTTCTGAAGACGATACAACAGCCATTTAAGTCCAGTTGATTAATATCTATTTACTCTATTTACAAACATAAATTAAGGCTACCTTTTTTTTACACAACATTTGCTTGTCAATTCATTTATTATTTCAACACTTTTTTGTTTTGCGTTTTTTAAATAATAATTAACTCAAAAAGTAGAATTTTCTATCATTGGTTCCAAGTTTCTTCATTCATTGAGTTTTCTGCTCTTGAAGAGATCTCCATTCTGCCATTTCCATTCTTTCCTGTTCAAAAGCCTCTGTTCATGTAAGTATCTTTTCCCTCCATCCAACCCAAAAACATCTTCCCCTGTCTTCATTCTTTTTTTTCTTTTCCCTTCCTTTTACATTTTTTTCTTATGGGGCTTATCATCATTTTTTCCTCTCTTATCAACTCCAGAATTTTTTTATTTGTGCGGCGTTCAGTCCAATTGATCTGAGCATTTCATTGTAGTGATTTTTGTAATACCAATGCAAACATTGTTGCGGCTTTTATAGAGTTTTCGTGACTTTCATGATTGTTGATGTTACCGGATGGAGTGGTTTCGACAGTTTTCAATTACGTTTTTAAATATGTAAACGATGATATGAATAAAGAATTTGGTATGTTCAACGCTGGGTTTAAAAAAATGTTCATGAACTTGTTTCCCTCAAATTGAAACCACCTGGGCGAAAGAAAGCAAAACGGCTTTGTAGAAAAAAGAAGTATTCGAAAAAAAATTAAATACCATTTAAAACTAGTTTGATAAATTTATTCATGACGCCAGCAAGTTATTTTCCGCAAAAATGTAAACAAGCGTACCATAGTCGTACCATTGTTAAATGTTAAATGATGCACACCCCAGAAAAAAAAAACACCCGCAGATATCAGCCGATGTAATTTATTGTTTATGTTAAAACTGATTGTGCAATTAGTAGCAGAGCAAATTACTCATCTAAATAGTGGTAATTTCATGCCTGTTCATCAATCTGGTTTGAAACAGTTTTAAAGATGCTGAAAACATTTTTTTTAAATATTTTCTAGACATGAGTTCATTTTTCAGCTGGTTAGATTTTGAGGTTCTATTGCTTAGGCATTTCAAAGTTATGGTATATCAAAAAGGATAGTTGATCTAAGAATTACCAGGCTGGTCAAACAAAACAAATTTTGTTTAAGAATGTTTTATGTCAGCGTAGTTTCCACAGGTGGGTGGAGAATTATTGGGTCCACTACGCAAAAATTGTGATAGATGCGATGCAATTCAGACTGTGTTTGTAACTCGTTTCTATATGTTTGTATCGGTAGTTTGAGGTTTATTTTAAGTTTGATAAGTTTCCAGATAATAAACAGTAGGGGATTGTTGAATGAAGGTCAACTACTGCTCAATTGCCGAAGCTGACGGATGAATGGACTGAATGGATGCCGGAAGTCTGAATGGGATAAATATATATACATCTAAAAAATAACCCTATGGTACGTTAATCAAAAACATTAGTATCTCCGACATAAAATGTTATTCCCAAGAAGATTTGAAAATTTTATAAAATCCAGTAAATTATAGTTATTGCTTACATCTGAGTTTTGATATACCAACAAAATATAAAGATTTTAATATATCCTGATAAGTAAGCCAAAAAACATAAGAGAAATTTAGTATAGCAGCATACACTTCATCATAACACTACTTTTTTCATAAAATTTATTCATAAACTTTATAAAATGCTAAAAAGAAAAACTTAATTTTTTCATAAAATTCATAAAATGCTAAAAAGAAGTTAACCTTTTAAAGTAACTTTTCTAGAAATTTCATCAAACCAGTTGAAGGTGAAAGGTAAGCATTTTCTGTATACAGCTAATGCTAAATTGCATGAAAATTATTATTACGTACCAATAAAAATATTCTTGATATATGGAAAATTAAACAATTTATTGGAATAAATTGTGATGAGTTTGATCACGTTTCTGAACATTTTATACGTTTTACGTTATTGTCTGTTAGTCAATTATACATCATATAAGTTTTACTGTTTTTTTTTAAACTAACAATTAACAAAATGTACCAGCAGTTTTATTCTTACCCGGTCAGCTCTTCATCTCTTGGTATTCGCGTAACATGTCACGTTATACTTCGATATATCGTACTAATTTTTCTCGTACTGTGTTGTTTTCTACTTTCCTCTTAAATAGTGGTATAAAATTGTGGTTTTCGTCAATACTGCTGGTAAATGGTAAATGAAATTTAAAATATCCCAACAAAACAAAGGCAGTGACTCCCTGGTGTATGGCATCGACCCGACTCTGTACGACGACCAGCAGGGCGTTGATGTGGAGACAAATTTTGAGGAGGACAACATCGGGAGGTTGTGGTTCGCCATCCAGTACAACCCGGAGGCAGAGAGACTTGCTGTGACGCTCATCCAAATGAAAAACCTTCCGAGCAGGATCAGAGGCATCAACAACGGCTGCGATCCCTACGTCAGGTCGCCATTTCTCACAGCGCTTCTTACTTCTTGCTTAATTTACGTCAACAATGATTTTTAATAATATTGTTATTGCATTACAAATTTATGAGAATATAAAATTAAAGAAATGTTCAAATCTGGCAATCATCAGGATTTGCTTGCTACCCGACGAGAAGCGTCACCTGCAATCTCAGTTTAAAAAGAAAAATTGCAATCCCAAATTTGACGAAAACTTCGTTTTTCAAGTAAGGAATCTCTTCATTTAATTTTTCAGACTGAAGATGAATGAACTGTGGACGAGAATGAAGTGCTTGCTAGTTGATAACAAATACAGAATCAAAATGTAAAATGTGTGTAGTGATGTACTCGATAGTCTATATTTGCAACAATAGATGTTATTGAATGAATTAGGCGACCTATTAATTTTTTTTTCGTAACTTTAATGGAAACAATTTATATGCACGTAAGAGCTTTATTAATTGATACCATAAATATTTTTTATTATTTATTTACGACATTATTAATATTGAAGTGTTAAATAGAAATGGTGATTCCACGCTAAATAATTGAAAATTGTGTTCATATGTTCAATCAATTTGACAACTTTATAGATATTTCCTTTTTTTCGCATATTTTCATCTTTTAATATGAGATCTCCCTTGCCAATTTTAATCAACTCCTCTCCTTACACACCTATCAAACTGAAAACTTCAGGATGGATGTATTTTGGGATGCACTAGGCAACCTATTGTTTACAGACTTAATTAAATTAATCAAATATTGAATACATTAATAATAAATATAACATAAATTAAATTTATTTTATTTAATCACTGTTGAGAATTAAATTGATCATAATTTCGAAGCTTCAAATTTAAAAATAAAAAACTCAAAAAGAGAGTGATAGATGAACTTTGATTTAATTTTTCCAAATGATAACGAGTATTGGTTAACTGACAATAGATTTAAAATATACAGAATAAACTAATCTCGATAAGTATACACCATAGCACCATTTTGGGAGCTTCAATGCCGTTAAATTAGAACAAACAAACAAACATAATTTTTCCAGGTTTCACTACGGAACTTAAAGGAACGTTCGCTAAAGTTCACAGTGTTTGACGTTACAAGAAACAAAAGTCACGTGGTTATCGGAAGCGTGACCTACCCACTGAAGATGTACGAATCGTCATCAAAGGTGGTGTTGTGGAGAGATCTAGAAAGGGATGATCTGTCGCATCCAGGGCACGAGGTCCACTTTGCTACCATTTTGTTAATGCATGTGTTTTGTTTTTGGTAGTTTTTTGTTTATTTTGTTGTTAATTTTAGCCAAAATATTTAATATTTACTCTGCCTGAGGAATGGTGTAATGATGATTAAGAGCGCCTGGTCCTGCGTTGCAGTGACTGACTTCGAATGCAAATGATTCCCGCCTGTCTCACTCAATGTGTCCGATAGCATGGTTCACTAGTATGCACAGGAAACGTTGGTGCGTTTGAATGCTGCAATAAAGATAATAATCAAGAAAATTTACATCATTTTGATAGTTGTTATCAATTTTTATCCTACTTTTAATTCACGCAAAAAAATTTTCCTTATTTTCTTTGAATTGACTCCTAGCTTATTTTAATTCACAATTTGTATTTAATTTGCTGTTTTTTGCATTTTTACAATGTTTTTTCTAATTATTTTATTTTTATTTACGATCTACCTTGAAGTACAATCCAACAACTGAGATTTAAAATAGTTGCTTCAGTTAAATAGCACATCCGTTATAAGCGCTGAACACGTGATGGCCTGGAAGTTGGTAATTAATTTCCATCGCAGGATGCCCCCCTACATGTTTAAATCGTTTAACGTGGACGCTTGTTTTTAGGCAAGTGAATGTCGTTATGAGTGCTAATGTGAGCTTTCTTTGGCACATCAAACAGTCGTTCAACTTAGAAACATCTAATTTTTTGTTTCAACAAAATTATCCCGTAACAAATTGTTTAAAAATAATGATCAATCATGAATGTTAAGCAAAATGCAGTTGTTGGTCGTTTGATGATACGTGAACTGCAATTGAAACTTATCTTTTGAGTTCTGCCGATGTTGTTGATGTGTAGTTTTGGTTTGAATTTAATGAAAATCGCATTTTATGGATCATATGGTCGTGAACTTTTAAGGGGGTGGACAGCATGCAGCTGTACGTTTCTTTATCATACAACGGAGATCTCAGCAGATTAACTGTCGGAATATACGCCGGCAAAAATTTCAAAGTTGATGAAATGTTGACGGAGGAAGAATCACACAAAACAAGTGCACTTGTTTATTAATTCACTATTCATATTTACTCATTCACTCATCCGTTCATTCACACTTGCAATCACTCAACTCACTCAATCACTAATAATTCATTAATTCACTTATTTATTCCCTCTTTCTTGACTGTTCATTCGTTCGCGTATCTAAATTTCTTTTTTTTGTGTATACATTTATTTATCCGTGCGTTTATTCATTCATTCATTCGTTCGTTCGTTCGTCCATTCATTCATCTATTTAGTCAGCCATTTATATTTATTTTCTCAATAATTTGTATTTTCCAGCATTGAATAAATTTTTAATTAATTTTCTTTTTCACATTTCATTGAAAGTTTTTAATAGAACCATTATTAAAATATGCGTTTAGTCTAAAAATTAACACATAACAATATAATTTAAATGAAGATTTGTTTTTTTTTAGTAATGCCCACAAAAATATATATCATATTTTTGGAATTGTGAAGAAATGTACGCTAAGGTGATGCTGATGCAAGTGAACAAAGTCTTGAAGAGCAAGAAATCAGAAATGGTAAAAGCGAGCAACAGCCCCGTCTTCAATGAGATGTTTAAAATGAAGTTGGCTCCGTTCAACCTCAACTCTGTCAGTCTCTCAATCACGGTCTACCTCCAAACGTCCCACTCCAAAGGTAGTCCCATGTATTCCGTTGTAATCTATCTTCTATCTATATTATATATATATATATATATATATATATATATATAAAGATTATATTATAAACAATGAAAATGTATGTGGTTGGTGTGTACGTCTGACCTTCATTCTGTCGTAATGAATCTTTGTGAATTTATTATGTACACCTGAGAGGTGGTTTATGGAGATCTATGTATATTATTTATATACAATACATATATTATTATTGAGTTGTTGCACTTTTAAAAAAGATAGAACTCACGCATCGTTACAACGAGACTTTTTGTTTTGTTTATTTAATTATCGACTAATGAGACTTAAGAAAGACATTGGATAGAGACAAAATTTCACGAAAACAAATGTAAACAAAGATTTTTCTCTCTCGATGTACTTACTCTACGAGAATTGAAGAATTTGAAAATTTGTTACCGATATTTTGTTATAATGATATGTGTTGTTGTATGTTGTTGTATGTTGATTTATGTTGATGTATGTTGCTGTATGTTGATGTACGTTGATGTATGTTGATATATGTTGATGTATGTTGTTGTGTTGATGTATGTTGTTGTATGTTGATGTATGTTGTTGTGTGTTGATGTATGTTGTTGTATGTTGATGTATGTTGTTGTGTGTTGATGTATGTTGTTGTATGTTGATGTACGCTGATTCATGTTGATGTACGTTGATGTACGTTGATCTATTTTTATGTATGTTGATGTATATTGATGTATGTTGTTGTACGTTGATGTACGTTGATCTACGCTGATTTATGTTGATGTACGTTGATGTATGTTGATTTATGTTGATGTATGTTGCTGTATGTTGATGTACGTTGATGTATGCTCTTGAAATGTGTTGATGTTGCCAACGCGTGCCTTTTTGATGCATGCATTGTAACAATATTTAAAAATCTTGAATTGAGATTGAGACCTTAAATGAACGTAAATAATTTCCTACTGTAAAAGTGTGGCGTAGCAAGGAGGCGGGCCTAGGCAGTTGGCAGAACTTCATTTGCCAAAAGACGCATTTTTACTGTTACATAAAATAGTGTTAAATTAATGAATTTCTTTGGATGAAGTTTGAGTTTTTTGTCTCTAAAACGTTGGAATATTTCATTTAAATGTTCAGCATGATCCGCCATCCCATTTGAAAAGCAAATGATATCGTCTGCATACACAAAGTACGTTACGTCTGTTAATTGTTTTAAAACTGATTGTATTAAGAGTTGAAAGGGAAACGGCTAGTTTGCTAAACCTTGCGGCAATCTTTTAAATTCGTCATGACAGTCGTGATTACTAAAACCGCTTTTGTGAGCTGTTGCAGGATCTAACGGTGGTCTGTAGAAACCTGATTGCAAATCTAACACGAAGGAAATGTTTGGATTTGCGCTGGAAAGACATTCAACAACTTCAACGAATGTTGACGGCGGATGAAATTATTTTGCGGTTTCATCTTTTTTTTGTACCTTTTTTCAGGGTGAAACTGATTCTTTAGTAAATCTTAGGTTTAAAAATTCATTGCATTGTCTTGAAATTTATTTTTTATTTTCAGCGTTGGTTCGATGAACACGTTTTCGAGTAGACGTATGTAGGTACCGCCTGTACCAATCGTGTCATATATAATATCTCAACAGTGTAGATCTGATAATGATCTCGAAGAGACATCTTCATTGTTTTAATGAATTTATCTCTTCGGTAGAATACAAATGTGAATCGTCAATTTTTATTTCAAGTTCGTTTAAAAAAATTTCAAAGTTTTTGCTCGTTAAAATTGTTCTATTATCATTTGAAATTGTTGATTTGGAATGGTTATAATTATTATTAATAGTCCTTAAACTTTTTCACGAAAAGTTTTATCTCTGTAATAGTTATTTTTAACTTTAATTTGTGATCTTCTGCCGGAGTGTTCAAAATTGTTTTGCTCCACTCGCACATATTTTACGTGACAATCAAATTCTTCGATAATTGCTCTCTGTCTGTGTTTGGTTAAATATGTAGGTATGTGTTTGAAATGTTTATCAGGTGGCAAATAATGGTATCATATGATGAATGTGAAATTTTACGTGCCATAGATTTATCCTTAGGTTCTATTATGTATGTTTTATTATTGTTAAGTTTGTTTGTTAAAAGGGTGTTGAATGTTGCTTTTGTGTGCGGAGGAGCTGAAATTTTTTCTGCAATGAAAGTATAATTATTTTTATGAGGTAATGAATCATTAAATCATTAATGTTTGAGATAAGAAAGTAATTATAAAATAAAATTGTCATTTTTAATAATTATTTTTGCATTATGACCATTTAAAAAATATATTTCTAAAATAAAGTTATTACAAAGATTACATATAACGTAGAATGTGACATGCAATTAGGAATGTTGAGTTTCAACGTATGTGTTTGGCACAATCAACAGATTGTGCCAAACCATCGTGTCACCATTTTATACTATTGCCTTGCATGCTGTAACAGATTCTGCGATTGTCAGATTCTGATTTTTTAAGAATAACAAAAAAAAAGATTCACATTTGCACAGGCAATCACCATTTCAATGCACTCATTGTTACTGGCGTTATCTGTAATCAACAGATTGTGCCTAAACCTTTTATCGGCTGTCCATCAGCTCAACGAATATCTAAAATATCGTTCTTCTTTAATTGTTTTAATAGATTTAATCTTGTTGCAACTTTTTCGCTATCAATAAGTGCATTGAATAACGGCTGATTGATGTCATTTTCATCCACATCGGCACTGGAAGCAAGTGCATGCATTCTGAAAAAGTAAACATCCACTGATTCTCGAACACCCTGTTTTGCTGTCCATATGTCACTTCAAGTTTTCCAGCGCAACTCTTTTGGGTTATAATGTCTATGAACACAAGTTTTTAGCTCATTGAAGGATCGTTTTGATAGTTGTGCTTGATAGTTGTGCTTGCGTTGACGAAGGTTGTGTGTGGCAGTTTTGATTGGTGGTACTAAAGGATGGATGACGTGGTTGAATCTTGCTAGTGCTTTTTTTTTGAAATGTGTCTTTGTTATGACGTGTGTAAAATGTTGATATGAAATGTTGCGACTGTTGGCAGGTGCGAGTAGTGCGTGATCGCCGTGTTGTCTACGGACGACAAACGTTTGGGAAACGGTTACATTTAGAACACTTTTAACATCGTTTGGTAAATGCTGGGCAGTGATTCTGAGCAGTTACATTTGTTGTTAAATATTCTGTGTTGGTCACCTTCATTAAATCCAACTTGAAAATGTTCTGTGTTGGCCACCCTCATTAAATCATTAAATCCAACTTGAAAATGTTTTGTGTTGGCCACCTTCATTAAATCCAACTTGAAATTATTCTGAGTTAACCACCTTCATTAAATCCAACTTGAAAATGTTCTGTGTTGGCCACCTTCATTAAATCCAACTTGAAAATATTCTGAGTTGATCACCTTCATTAAATCCAACTTGAAAATGTTCTGTGTTGGTCACCTTCATTAAATCCAACTTGAAAATGTTCTGTGTTGATCACCTTCATTAAATCCAACTTGAAAACGTTCTGTGTTGGTCACCTTCATTAAATCCAACTTGAAAATGTTCTGTGATGGTCACTTTCATTAAATCCAACTTGAAAATGTTCTGTGTTGGTCACTTTTATTAAACCCAACTTGAAAATGTTCTGTGTTGGTCACCTTCATTAAATCCAACTTGCTTTTCATGTTTGTTTCCTTCCCATTGAACGCTTTAAAATTGTAGATGATTTTGAATGCCGACGAAATGGATCTCGATTATTATTGTAATTATTTATTTTATAATTTGAATTTTTGTCGCTTCTTTAATTATGTGTTAGTCTGTTCACGTTCTTACTCTCGTTGGATTTGTATTTTTTTTATATTATTTTGAACTGTATTAAGTAATGTTGTAATTTTTGCTATTAGTGAATTCTCCAAATCGTTACTGTCGCAGTTCGAAATGTTAGCTTCTACCATTTTCGCGGCTTCCAACAACTCATATATGTTACCCGGTTGCATGTACGTCACTCCTTTTTAAATGTCATCTCTTAAACCTAGCTCAACGGCTGAATAACGGCTGATTGATGTCATTTTCATCCACATCGGCACTGGAAGCAAGTGCATGCATTCTGAAAAAGTAAACATCCACTGATTCTCGAACACCCTGTTTTGCTGTCCATATGTCACTTCAAGTTTTCCAGCGCAACTCTTTTGGGTTATAATGTCTATGAACACAAGTTTTTAGCTCATTGAAGGATCGTTTTGTCTCCGCAGGTAGTCAATTAAGCCAGTGATTAGCCGCAGTTCCAGGTAACAACAGATTCCAAAGTGACAAATGTATTGATTATATCATCAAAATTGATAAGAGATGCTCGTTTGTGTTCAATTGAAATTATGCTTAAATTGGAAAGTCTCCCCTGTCCCATTGTACTTCTCATGTAGTTTTTGATGATTTTGAGTTTACTGAAACTTCGTTCTCCAGATGACACTGTGACAGGCAACGTGAGAAAGATTCTCAATGCAGTAGTGATGTTAGGGTAGCCTTCTTCTTTATAAATGAGACTTAGCATTTCTTTTGATGTGGCTTTTTTTAAACTTTTGTCAACTGTCAAAGCGTGATGCTTGAAACTTTCTATTTCAAACATGAATTCATCAATGTTGAGATCAGCTGAGTATATATTTGCCAAATTTTCGGCTTTAATTTTTAGATCTGCTGTCTGCATTTCTTCAATTTTAACACCACTCAAAAACCCAAACGTACTGTTTACATTATTTAAAGATTCAAACCTGTCACTAAGTTCTGTAATCACTCTGTCAATGATTTCTAACATAGTCACTTGGTACATATTTTCAACACTTGTCAGAGCTTCATCATTGCACAATTCATCAGCTATTTTTCTTTTCATTCTTGGTCTCTTTTCTGAAAATGCAGATGTTAGATTATTCATTTTTGCTAACAATTTCCCCTCAGCGATGGCCTCAGATGGTGCAGACTCTCTGCAAGACTTCATAAGTGTCAAAAGACCTTTGAGGTTTTGGGCAGCCAAATCAACTGTTAAATCTTTTTTTTTGTAAAAATTCGTTAACATGGTTAATCTTTTCTTACAATGCATGCCAAAATCTAACCATCTTCGTCTCTTTTCTGAAAATGCAGATGTTAGATTATTCATTTTTGCTAACAATTTACCCTCAGCAATGGCCTCAGATGGTGCAGACTCTCTGCAAGACTTCATAAGTGTCAAAAGACCTTTGAGGTTTCGGGCAGCCAAATCAACTGTTAAATCTTTTTTTTGTAAAAATTCGTTTACATGGTTAATCTTTTCTAACAATGCATGCCAAAATCTAACCATCTTAGTCTCTTTTCTGAAAATGCAGATGTTAGATTATTCATTTTTGCTAACAATTTACCCTCAGCAATGGCCTCAGATGGTGCAGACTCTCTGCAAGACTTCATAAGTGTCAAAAGACCTTTGAGGTTTCGGGCAGCCAAATCAACTGTTAAATCTTTTTTTTGTAAAAATTCGTTTACATGGTTAATCTTTTCTAACAATGCATGCCAAAATCTAACCATCACGATAAATTCAAGTTTTTGAATATTTTTCAAAAGAGAGCTGGCCTCATTCACAGTTTGAGGAGTTGAGAAATCATAGTTTTTAAGATCTTCTAGAGTCTGCAGAACTTTACTATAATGTTTATATACAGCTTCGACTGCATCTAATCTTGCAGACCATCTTGTTTTGCTTTCAGGTTTTAATGTTATCGGCACATTTTCTTTGAGAACTTCCCAACGTGAAGTTGAAAGTGCAAAAAAAGAATACAAGCTGTTCAAAGTTCCAAAAAATGTTCAGGCAACTTTTCATTAAGTTTTTTCCAATTGGTAAGTCCTTTTTCTTTAGTTAAAGAAGACATTTGATTTGAAGCTAAGTGTGGAAACAGTCTGCAGGGAATACAACAGAGAGCTTTATTACTTTCACTATAGGCTAACCATGATCTTTTCATTTTTTCTCCATTTTTGAGAACTTTATAAAACCAGTCTTTAGTTAAATTGCGTCCTTCTCGGCTACTGTTACTCAAATTTGGTTCAGTTAAATTTTCAAATCTCATTTTTGTTATGAAACATCTTTCTGAATCAGAAAAACTTTGTGGCCATGAACCAGGATCACTGAAATCAAAAGGGAACTTAGATGTCTTTTGAAGACTTGTTGTGGGGTCTTGTTGAGGTAATAATTCTTCTACAGTTTCATTTGTTGGATTGAAGTTGAACCAAAATACTTTCTCCTTGATCTCTTCTTTAGCTTCCATGTCATCTAAATACGAAATATTTAAAAAAATTATTTTATTCAAAAGGATGCATAATTAATACACATTGTGCATAATGTTCCATTATTCAATTAATAAAATTTGAAATAATAAAAATATTTACCTGATTTTTCTTTTGAGCCCTCTTTATCACTATTCACTATAATACTAACATTAACATTAGATTTGTTGAATAACGTTTCTAATTTTGGCGTTAGTGACAGCAATTCTGTAATTCTTTAGCAATTCTTCTGTATTCAGCTCCACTAAGTTTTTTTCTGCCATCCATTTTTATTTTCTAACATGAAAACGACTAAACTAACCTACTATACTATACGACATTTTTCGCGGCGTGATTTTAAATCAAATAAGGGAAAGATTACAAATAAGAAATAAGATAAAGATTCTGCTCATAATATTTGCGTTTATATTTTAATCTTTACATAGAAAAAAAACAAACCAAAAAAAATTAAAAAAAAATATAAAAAAATCAAATTTACTTTGATCCATCATCCATATTATAACAAATGCGAATAAATTTTTCAAATTTTTAAAAAATGTCTAAAATTTGCCGCCCCTAAAATTTGCTGCCCGGGGCGCTTGCCCCCTTTGCCCCCCTAGTTCCGGGCCTGCTCTACCGCGTTGTATCATTTAAATAAATTATACCGTGTTATATTCGGATGAGAGATTGTAAAGTTATAAAAATGCACGTAACGTTTTCATCCTTGTTGTATGTTTGAAATCAGTAAGAGAGCGAGCAGCAAGAAAATTTAAGTTTCCGTTGTGTAAATACTACCAATACTAAATAAACCATCGTTCCTCAAACAAACCCTCGTTCCTCTTCTTTCTCTTCCCTTTTCCTCCCTCTCTGCTGCCTCGTTCGTTCCAAGATAATTCATACTAACTAGTTTTCTCTTAAACGATGTTACCTATTAACTTATAATATATAAAATATATGACATACGTCTATGTTTAACTTATCTAGCTAGTAGGATGTATTGTGTGTGTGATGTGTGTCATGTAATAATATACTGTATCAAAATTTTTTATAATGACATTTAAGCAATACAAAAATTTGATAAAAAAATTATGAACAAACAATTTTTTGCACAATAAATCACAATGACTTTGTTAGTTAAATAATTTGGGTTACAATAAAATTTGATGTAAAAAACTGTAAAAGTGAATTTGGGTTTTTCTTATAACTGCACCAAAATGTAAAAGTTTAAGACGAGGGAGGTCCATGCTAGGCTACTGCTGCTCACAGAGAACGAGCGTGATGTGGCTGGTTGGAAAATATATCTATATGGAATTCAAACTACATTATGCTAGAATTCATTCAGCAAGAATGCCTTCTTATCAACACATTGCCACTATGAAAAAAACTCTTTTACTGAGTACTGATCGTACGAATATAATGTTAGATAACAAGCTAATTAATAACAAATTTACTATTTTTTAAATAGACCAAACGAGTATAAATGACGCATGTTAATGTATTTTGATGAATGTTGCATGCATGTTGACGCATGTATGTTGACACATGCATGTTGATGCATGCGTGTTGATGCATGTATGTTGATGTCAGTTGTATCTAAGTGGAAAAGCAGGACGATGCGGTGTGTTTGTGTGGTAATGAAAAGCAAACATCTCCCAACGTAGTAGCTCCTTATTCCTCATTGACTCATAAACATGCTGTTGTGTTTTTTAAGAAATAAATTATGCCGGTCGGTTGGTGCCACATCAACATACAACAACCTACATTAGCAAACATCAACATACATTAACGTACATCAAAATACATCAACATACATTAACACACATAAACAAACATACATCGGATAATACAAACCTGGTGTTTTTAGTTTTACCTTTGAAAAATTTTAAATATTTTGCTCGTATTTCATAAATGAAGTTTCCGTAATATTTCCCCACTATCAGAAGCACTGGGCAGAGTGGTTCTTGGATCATTTATGTTTGCCAGGGGTGCAGAGTTGGAACATTGGACCGAGATGACAAGCAAGGAAAAAGAGCAAACATCACAATGGCACAACCTGACACAGTTGTGACGCAACGTTTGTTGAAACTCCACTCCATACAAGACGAAAACTACTTTTTATATCATACAACAGGACAAAATCATTCTGTAGGTCATGCCTCACGCAACACCTGTTCCTCTGAACTTTGAAAGTGTTTATGACCAAAGGCACATTAATTGTATGAGACCGCTAAGCTTTGATGTTAACTTATTTCTGCTTTCGATGGTTTTTATTGTCATTGTATATTTCATTTTCATTCCTACTTATCCGTGCATTGTATGTAATGCTTGTCTACATACGTCATTTTGATAGTGAGCAGTTCGTTTAAATGTGTACCTTTTCAGCGTTTTTTCGGCTAGCCAAATAAAGTTTATGTTTTTGTTACATATTATATACGTATATAACTATATAGGTGTGTGTTTGTGTGTATTTATAATACAATAAAACACATGCCTAATTTTGTCGTGCACTGCAAATTTTGTTAATTTTCTAAATGTAACTGTTTTTAATTCCTTGAAGATATCAGCTAATGTGTTTGCGTGGTTTACATTTTCAATCAGACAAAACAAATTTGGAAAGGGCTCCATTCGTGTGCATTCAGCATGTCTTTGCTTGCGTGATAACCTGCCTTCCTTTACGCGTTCTTTAAATTAAAGTCGATTTTCACTTTTCTAAAAGTGTTAACAAACAAAATGCAAAAAGCAATCCTTTTATTTTGATTGTTTGCAATCGCAATTGTTAAAATAAATTGAATAAAAGTAGATTAATTAAATCTTCATTAATTTAAAATTTTAATTAAGGTAAAATTAACATTAGTATGAATGTGTACATGATTATTAGTTATTTATTAACCGTAATCTAATATTGTAAAATATAATTATTTCTAGAACTTGATCAAGCTATACATTTGAATGAATTGTAACACATGGAGCAGATAGGTTCAGGTTGAGTGCTTGCAAAGGAACACTGGAATGATCTTAAGGAATCTGCATCCGATTAGTTAATAGTTGCTGATATACTTTATTTTTTCCACTACCGAAATGGAGGAAATGATTGCCAGTCAGGCCATCAGAGTTTTTGCATCTAGTTAATCCAAAAAGAGACAACTAAAAATCAATAATTTTATTTTTTATTTATTAATTGTTATCGTTATTATTATTATTGTGCTGTTCTTGTGGTTTTGATTGTAGTAGATGTTTTTGTATTTGTTTTTCTTGTAAAGAACCACCATCCATTACCTCGCCTACAGCACGACGCATGATTTCTTCGGGAAACATGCCATTGTTGGATTTTCTTTTCTTATTTCTTTTTTTTGTCTGCAAATCAATTATCATAATAATTATATAATCATTTAATAATTATTTTATTAATTAAGAAATCATATTTTACATTGGAACAAAAATTTGGCTTCTATATGAACTAATTTCTTATTGAAACGTCAAACTTTCATGTGGAAGTGATCACAGTATCATTACAAATAATTGAACAATTACATTCCAAACCAAATATTAACATGTCTAGAAATCAGTCAAGAAATAAAAAATCAGAATTAAACAGTGCAACTGACGATTTTCATCGCAGAAAATAATTTGTTAACTACCGGTCGTACTAAAGTACAGATTAGGTTACTCTATAGGAAAAATTATGTACGGCTTAACAATTATTTGATTTGTCTCACTGTACTCCATGTCTCAACGTAGCCCACCTTCCCCTACTCCTTTATAATCATTGGTCCTGTTTGAAGATTTTTTAACGGTGAAAAAAACACGTGCAATTGCACGTAAAATCAATCAAAAACTATTATAATGATCGATATTATCGTAATTATTAATTCCTGAGTGAAAGACCGATGTTTGTATAAGAAACTCATCTACATTAACGCTGGACAATGTAACATATGCGTTCAAACATCATATAGTCGGACTGTTTGCATTTGTACCAAGTCACGATGCAACTGTCTGTTACGACATAACGCCCTTGCTGTTACAGTAAAAAAATTAAATCTAGAAAAATTAGCCCTTAAGCCCAGAAACCTTTCCAATAAATTTAACAGTATTCTCGTGCGAATTTATTTTGCTGAAAAAATCTATCTTTGCCAACATGAAATCTTTGTTTGTTGTATTTTTATTGCCTAACCGAATAAACGTATTTTTGTTTCAAGTTTGAAATAATTCCTAGCAAAAATATGTTTAATTAATGAAAACTGCAACAAACTTTTCAACATTTTAACAGCAACTGATGAATTTTTCTGCTCTTCTCGACCAGCGGTTGTTTCAGTCTGGCTACTTTACTATAGGTACAATTAATTAATAATTTGTTAAAAGCAAACCAATCGGCAAATGTTTTTAGAATTTCATTTATTGATTGTACATCCTCTGTTGGTTTCTTAGTAGAAGAGTGTACGACGGTATCGCCTGCACACAAAATTAATTTCGCTCTGTTGTTGGAATGTTGAAGAAGTTCATATAGTTCAAACATGGAAGTTTGAGGAGCTCCATTGTTTACGCTGAGATGTTTGGATTTTTAATATAACTTTTATAAAACTTATTAATTTATTTGTTATAAGAAAAAAAATCTACAGTCAAGTTGTTACAAAAAAATAATCATTATTCGATGATTTCTTAGTGATTCACAAAAAGTTTATCAAAGTTACTTCATGTCAAGAATGATTGAATTGTTTTACTATGCAATGGTAATGTAAAATGCTTCACATTTAACAGTATTGTAAAATGTTTCACATTTAACAGTATTGTAAAATGTTTCACATTTAACAGTATTGTAAAATGTTTCACATTTAACAGTATTGTAAAAGGCTTCACATTTAAAAATTCTATTGCCAATAACTATTTTACGGCGTTGTAAAATTACAGTCGGTTAGGCTATGATATATATCGGAGGAGGTCTACATGAATTTATACAAACGCGATAAGCTAGCTAGTCGTTGTTGAGATCACAAGTGAAACAATAGCTGGAGGATTAATAAGCTTCGTTAAAAGCGAATAGAGTTTATTTGTAAAATATCTTGCTTGAGTTTTGTAAAAATTGTGTTCTTGCTTGTTACGAGCTACGAAATATTTCAGAATTAAAAGTGAGAAAATCAAACTTAAACTGCAAAGAATGATTTCATCAAAAAATAAAATTGTTCATCCATCTGTTGCTGCTGAGAGGCAGATGAGGAATCAAATGCAAGAGAGGTTTAAGATGAAGAAAGAATTGGAGTTGAAATCTCGTAAGTTTGTCGAGTTCTTGTCCATCAATCAGCACGTCAATGAAGATGAACTCAGCACTATGCTACATTTGTTGTTTGTTCAGCAGTACGATGACGTGATTGTGGAAAGAAGCATTTCTTCATTCTGTGGATATGCTCTATGTGCAGCTGACCTAATTGAAGTGCCTAAAAAGAAATATCACATTTCTCATCTAACCTCAACCGTCTATGATATCGAAGAAAGAAAAAAATTCTGCAGCAACAATTGTTTCCTATCTTCAAAGCACCTGAGGAAACAGATATCAGCAGACCCATTATTGGATCGCACCAGGATTTCCACGAAATTTGACTACCTCAGGGATCATTCCAACTTTAAAAAATCTGATGGTATGGGAGACGTCGTACTTCAGCCATTTAGATTCAGTCTTGCTGATGAGATTAAAAAAATGAGTATTTGTGAACGTGATGATGGAGATGATGATGATGGAGATGATGATGATGGAGATGATGATGGAGATGATGATGATGGAGATGATGATGATGGAGATGATGATGGTGGAGATGATGATGGTGGAGATGATGATGGTGGAGACGAGTATGAGAGAATGGTTAGTAGTAGGGATTATGATTATGATGATGACAAAGAAAAAAATAAAAAAGACTCACCAATAGTGAACGTGGAAAAAAAGAAGAAAGCAGAAACAAGAGGTGCTGTGTTGCTGCAAAATTGGCAGCTGCCTCCATTGAGTGTTAATGGGAGGAACAATTTGTTTTAAAGAATAATTTGAGACATTTCATTTTTTTTGTTGTAATAGTATTTCTTTAGATGTCTCATTTTTTATGTTTGAAATGAGTTAATTTTGTCAAAAAATATACAAAAAATTTAAATTAAATAAAGCATTTAAATTTTTTTGAATGACTAATTAATTAATTAATCTCAAACTTACAAGCAAGTTTTATACGCACGTATACTTAATTGAATATAATTAAAAAAAGTAAAAAGATTACAAATATTTTCTCTTTTTGTTAATCATAACTCAAATAAATATTTTTATCATAAAAATCTTCAATTGATAAATAATTTCCTTATCGCAATTAAAAAATTTGGGTATTCATATTTTGGGTTAATATTCGGTTTCAGAAAATCAGATCAATTCTATTCATTTAAATTCCTTTTAATTATCAAACCAAAACATTAAGTGACTGTATAGAGCTTAAATCATTTTTATAGAATGTAATAATTTGGTCTTGTTCGAGTATGCTTTACTTTGAAATGACAATTTGAAATAAACTAAAATGAATAACGATATTATCTGGCATTAAATGTTGTTATAAATCACTTGAAATTTGCATGCAAACGTATGAACGTTTCTGTTTAAATTTATAATATGCCATGTTAAAGTTATACAAATGGATGTCAATTACAATAAAAATTAATTTTTTAGCCAAGGTTTTTTTTTCGATGGAGTTGTTGATTTACTAGATGAGTTACAATTATTAACCTGCCAATTAAGCTACAGTTAAAGTTATCCATTTTAGACCATTTAAAGTTAAAGTTACAGTTAACTTTAATTCTAACAATAACCTGGGATAAAGTCACAGTTGGAAATAACAAAAAAGAACGCTGGCAGCACGTCAAAGGCCAGAGGCAACCGAAAGTGCAAATAGGGTCCTGTGCATGATAAAAAGAACGGTTAAAAGCGGTGATATGATATATCATATTAAATCTTTATGAAGCATTGGTCAGACTTAAGCTGAAATACTGTGTTCAGTTTCGGAATCCAGATTTGCAATAGGATAGACATATGCTTGGAAATATTCAAAGGAAGGCAACAAGAAAGATCAACAAGTGCCACGGTGTGTCAAACAGGGAGGTGAAATATTTTGCGCAGAAACAACTATTCTTCAAACTAACTTGGCAAAAACTGGATTTTGAAATTTCAGTGTGGTCTTATCACGGACACAGTCTCCTTGGATCACTATAACAATCTTTGTATATTAGGTTATGTTTGGCTACTAAAAATTTTTAAAATCATCCCTCAAATAAAACAAGCCCTCTGGCAAATTGCATAGGATATAGATGGGGATCTCTTTGCAAGCGAACCAACTCAGAGTGCCAGGCCAGGCTTTTCACCGTTACCCCATCGCACCGTCGAAACTTTTTATTATTTTAACAAAAATTTAGATTTTAGAAATTTATTTCATAGCTACAAAATAATTCAGTTGGTATAAGATATTTTTACTCAAGAAATTCCAATCAATTTTCCTGTTTATCATGTTGAAAAAATTATTTAGTGATTAGTTGTTTAAAAAAATAACAAATTTCAATAAATTGTAATAACAAAAATAATAATTTACTAATTAAAATATTTTGTTCATGAATGAATCTAGCTAACCTAAAGCTAATATAAGTTAATTTTGGAACATTGTTAACGTACATACGATGTTTTTCAAATTCGAAATTTTACAACTTTCAATAATGTTGTTGCATATTGCAAAAATTGTATTATCTCTTTCTTTTCTTACAATTGCATGTTACCGTTTTCTTTTTTGATTTTGAAAATCTTTGCAACCAGTATCTGTTTTGTTATACTTTAACTGCTAAATATGTTTGCTAATTCGTTTAATTAGACGTACGCTCTGCATTCAAATAAAAATTAAAATTTGCGATAGGTGTGGGCCTAATAAACCCGGGGCCATAAAAGTTACGGGCCCCAGACATTTGTCTTGTTTGTCTATTGGTTAATCCAATTCTGAATTTGAATACCAATTCGTCGTACTTTGTAGGTGTTTGAAACAAAAGATAGTATATATAACAAATAAAGCTTTAGAGTAATATGGCCTTTGATGTATATAATATGAATATGGCAGACGCGTTATATATATATACATTGTTCATATATATATATATATATCACATCAAGGTCAATCTAACAAATATTTGTTGAAAAGTGAGTTTAAATTAAAGTAAACAATCAATTTTTAGTCGGTTGTTTAGTGACTCGCTCTAGTTGTTTTTTTTTGTCAATTTATTGACCTATAAGTAAAAAATTTGTCTATAGTAAGACGTTTGATCGTAAAAAATCAATAAAATGTCAATTACCACAAAAAATGTTTAACGTTTACGCGTTTAATTCCATAGAACTAAGCAAAATTATTAGGCAAGTAACAATTCTTATGCCATGTCCATTATATCCATGAATATGACTTAATAAAAATACAAGTCAACCATGTTTTACAAATTTTTCATATTTTAGCTTTTTGAAAAACGATATTTAAATTTATCTTATTGCTCAAGGAAATGAAGATAAAAACATTACGGAAAGCAGTTTTAAAGTTTCATCCGACAGTATTTAAATCAAACTCTGGCGAATGAAACGAATGAAGCGAATGAAGCGTTTGTTAAATAAAACAAAATTATGTTTGTGTGTGTGTGTGTGTGTGTGTGTGTGTGTGTGTGTGTGTGTGTGTGTGTGTGTGTGTTTACATCCACAATAGGTTCGATGGCTTTTGTAAAATTGGCAAAAATTACAAAAATTGGACCGGAAATATACAATAATTACTAAATAGAATAATTTGTATTACTTTTTACATTTTTTTTAAAGAATAAACTCTCAGCAAAAATAAGTTATTATTTGGAAATTTTGTGTCATTACTGAAAATGGCTTTTTTAGCAAATTTCAATGCGCTGTTGTATAGTAAGAAGAAAATGTTCAAAGTGTTTTTGAAAATGTTTAAATTTTTACAGGGGGTGGATAAAACTTTTACGAGGGAGGCCAAGATTTGTGGTAGTATGGCTTGGCTGACGACCTTGGCTGACGCTGGCTTTTTTGGTTTCTCATGTTCAATTTTTGGTCGATTTTCTACATAAAACGGTCCTTTTTCAGACTTTTATTAAAAAACTGTTCACAACATGATGACCCTGGCGCCTCCATAGATCCGCCACAGATGTTATTTAAAATTGTGCAAACTTCAAACACAAAGCGCCAAAAAAGATTTTATTTCTTTGGATGCTACAGATACTTGGCGATTGTTTCAATTTAATTTACAATGAATGTTAGCCATTCTTATGAATAAATACTCCTATAAATATTTAAATTTATATTCAGATGTGTTGTTACTTACATAAATGTTGCACCGTATTGCCATAAAAACCAATACAGACAATCTACACGCTCGTGTTTGTGTCGAGGTTGTGTTCGGCTTTGTGTGTGTGTGTGTGTGTGTATGTGTGTGTGTGTGTGTATGTGTGTGTGTGTGTGTATGTGTGTGTGTGTGTGTTCTGCTCCCCTCGTGTTTCTTTTGTGTAGTGCGTGTGTCGTGCATTCATCTTGTGTGTGTGGTTGTGTCATTGTAAGAAGCTGCTTTGATGCAGCGGACATCAACACCAACGCTGAACAACATCGCCACATTTGCGTACATTCCCCCAACAATGAAATTATTATTACAATGCCGAAGCAACCAAACCTTTCATAACTCATGACTCTTAACTCCTTTGAAATTCTTGTACGTATAATTTAATCAGTTTATAGCTGAGCAGGTTTTCTTGTTGAAACGAGCTTGTTTGCAAAATCCTTGCGCGGTCTTTTAATTAAACCTATTTATTTAGCTAGCTTTTGATGTTGATTAAGGAGCGGAAAACATCTAAAAATGTTGGAATGATTTATAGTGGCAGAGTTCAGTGAAAGACACAACCAACCTACTTGCCTTCATTCAGTCAATCGTGGATTAAGTACTCGAGCATGCTCACTTGCACTATCATTTATTTCAAGAAACACATCTTGTCTAGTCTGATTAATTTAATTAGAGGAAGATGGCCAAGCAACAAACAAACAAACATGCAGCCTGCAATAACTTCCAACAAAAAGTCTAATTAGATGCTGTAAGTTCAAAGATCAAATTAATTTTTTTTATTTTTAAAATAATCACCCTGATGAAGGTAGCAATTAAAAAAGTTGCCTCCATCGGAAAGTGATTTATTTTGAAGAAGCCTGCAAAACAATCTTTTTCAATTTTTTACATTTTCCATCTTTTGAAACAACAGCAGCTCTACATCACCGAAGGACTTCGTGCTTCTCAAGCAACTTACAAGCTTTTGAATAATTGTCAATATCAATCAATAGAAAATATTTTACACACACACACACACACACAGAGAGAGAGAGAGAGAGAGAGAGAGAGAGAGAGAGAGAGAGAGAGAGAGAGAGAGAGAGAGAGAGAGATAAATATGCGTTGTTCATGTCTTCGCGAATGTCAAGTCACGTTAAAAAACATTAATAACATACACATAAGCAAGCAAAGGCACACACACACGCGCACGTACATAAACACCCACAAAAATACTCAACATATTCCCACATGCTCTGGTACACTTAAACACACGCACATGCACGCGCAAAATCAAACCCTTACAAATACAAGAACACAATACATCCACTTCAATCAAATCATTCCAAACAATTGCACGCACACACAATTACACACGCACACACAATTACACACACGCAGACGCAAGTTGTTGGTTATTTTTGCTGATTGTGGGATTAGTTGGTCCCATGTTTTAGGTCCTGAGATTTTGAGACTGGCTGTAATTAATTTTAGGCAAGTTTTGTAAGTGTAAAAAGTGGAAGTATGTTTTGTAGTGTTTGAATTATATATATATATATATATATATATATATATATATATTTTTACAATATTCTATAAATTCTACCGAATGTTTGGCGTTAATATGTTTGTAGTTCGTTTTTTCGATTTTTCTCACTAAAGTTTTTTG